GGGCAGATATATCTCCAACTCCACATTCAAAATATTCATAATTCAAAGCAGAATTAGACAGTGAACCAAAATAGAATAAAAATGCAGCTGTTGAGGTTATTTCTTCTACCCCGTTCCATGATCAAAAGAAATTCTAATATCAACCTTTCTACCTGTTTATCTTCCGACCTACTTAGCTACATACCTATCTTATTTGTCTATCTAGCTAGGTATCCTGAGAATAAGGGAACTGTTTATAGGAGAAGAACACTTCCAGGATATTGAAAGAGAATTTGTAAAACCAAACATTGTCCTTATGTTAACTTTCTCAAGACTTTAACTTCTGGATTTGCCTCAGTTTTATATGCAGCTTCAGAAAGGATAAGAAGGCAAGATGCATTATCTGTGTAATGATATTGAGCTAGTGTCATGAATTATTACCTTTGTCATTTTCATCACAACATTACTCAAAGAGAAGAAAAATTGTGTAATTTTTAGCATTTGTTCAATGATATCATGACACACACAATGTCTATTTGATATCAAAATGCCTTTCACTGGATACCTAAGTTGCCTTCTATCCAAGAATCCATTTGTACAGGACCAAAGGACTGGCCACAGCCTGTTCCAGCATGATCTGTACCCAACCTGGCCCTGCAGATCTCCCAATGGTGCACTCATCAAAGCTGCAATCAAGTCCATCCATCTTTGAGGTCATTGTCCTTTTCTTCTCTTTCCTTCCACCTTTCCCACCATTAGAGAATTCTCAAGGGAGCTTCCAATAATGTGTCTAAAATATCGTAATTTGGGTTTGATCATTTCTGTCTTGAATGAGAACTTTGGATTCATTTGTTTGTGGGTGTTTTGGCTATGTATGGTATTTCCAGGAGTCTTCTCCAACAACAAAGTTCAAAAATATCAATATTGTCTCTATCCTGCTTCTTTAGAGTCCAACTTTCCCTTCTATAGAGTGTCACAGACAAACCTATTGCCTACTTGATCCAACTCTTTTTAGGTATCCATCATGGCATCTAAATATCTTTTCCAAGGCTGTCATCATTAGTTTACTCTTCTTGTATCTAACCATAGACTCTTTTTTTTTTCACTGTGCTTTTTGACTTTCATTAATAGACCTTGCAGGTCATTTGTAATTTCAACTAGAGTAGTCGTAATCAGCGTAGCACACCAAGATCTGGCAGCCAAACTGGATCAATCTGTTCTAGGCAAGAACATTTTCTTGAGAAGCCAGGCCTCTTACTTTAGGCCCCAAAGATGTCTATACCATATAACTGTATTAAACTCTGGAGATCACCAAGCTTAGCACACTTTAATGTCCTACCTATGGCAGTTCTTAAGGGCTGGTATGAAAAAGCCCATATGAGCTAAGATGGTGCTCTTATTGAGAAGGGTCTATTGAAGCCATAATCCATGTCCTTCTATTGATATTTTTATAAAATATAAGGATTCAAGGGTCCGTATTTTCACTCCTTATTTTACCAGGTAGAGCCTGTTTAAAGGTGTACCAGTTAAAGCACCAGGCTAGAAACCAGGAAACTGTGAGTTCTAGTCCTGTCTTGGGCACAAAGCCAGATGGGTGACCTTGGGCCAGTCCCTCTCTTTCAGCCCAAATGTTTTCTCTGTGAGTCCAATCTGAAAATCTGCTGCATAGAAATCTGGCATAGGATTTGCTAACTGAGAATAGTAAGTTAATTGGTCCATAATTGGCAGGGTCACTCTTTTTATAGATTGGAAAAGGGACTGAATTTAGCCAGTCTTTTGGAATATTCAAAGACTTATTTATATGGGCAATATTGGATTAGATTTTTAAAATTCTGGCATAATTAAATCAGAGCTGAGCGCCTTACCATTTCTTAATTCACAGATTTATTTGTGAACTTTGGAAGAGAAATCTGGTGGCCACACAGTCATCTAATTTGAAGACACATAGGCTGTCACTTGGGGGAGCATAAAAATGGTACTAAAATATCTGGCCCAAATGTGTAAGAGCATTGAGTAGCTACTGATGGATTTATACACATTGGTTGGGGGGCAGGAAACTAGCCCCCAAACAAATGGCTGTCTCTGCCTAATAGACAAGCTCTATAATGCAAAGCTCTGTTCTTCCTCAGTAACTACTGTATATTATTATTGTTGGTCACGGAGTCAGTCAGAAGTTTAGGCTGGATTTGGCATTTTTATCCACCTGTCGAGTCCTTCCCAAGGAGCTGGGATAGGCAGAGGTTGTTATTTGATGGGGTTGTTGTTGTTGTTATTTTAGCATACATTCTTTATCATTATTATTATTATGCCACTTGAAATATTTTCAAGACAGCACACGAAACATAGACATACAACTACTGTCAAGCCAATATTTTCCAAGCCAATATACAACTACAGATCCCTCTCTCTCACACACACAGACACACAAAGTGCGTGGATACGCCCAAGTGAATGAATGAATTGGACTTGTATACTGATTGCTTTCACCATCAACTAAGCCACAATCACCAATTAAACACAAAAAACAAGAAAACACTTGCTTTGTGCAACTATTTCAATAGGACACAATGAGATGTTGTTCAAGGCTCACAAATAAGAGTGATGTCATAATTAACCAAGCGGACAAAAACAGGGCAGTGTCATCATGAATAAGGTGGATTATATCAGGGAAGTTGAGAAGCCATTCTCCAATACCATCCTCTTCCAACTTCTCTCCTCAATTCCCACAACAACATAACACCGAGGCTTTCATGCCTAATGGAGAACTAGAACTTATGGTTCCCAGTTCCTAGCCCAGCACCTTAGCCATTACACCAAAGTAGCTCTCACATTTTCAGAATTGGGGCAGGGGATATTAGTGGGGAGTTTCTTCTACATTTAAAAAAATGGTTGTGGAGAATATTGGGTGGGGTTTTCTTTCTTTTTTGCCAGGGGTGTTATGAAGCTCATGGGCCGCAGGACACAAAGCCTTTCATTTTGAGATTAGTGCACATTATAACATTAAAAACTGATTTTCACACAGCATTGTCTTCTTCATTAGCTATTCCCTTCTACTCTGATTAGAGCTCAGAATAATTCTCTAACATTTGAAAGAAAAGATGAGGAGCAGTTCTCCAGGCTCTGAAGGGAACTTAGAAGAGATCATCAGAGCTACTGCCTTGTATGTCACCTTGATGTGCTGATATGAGGGAAATATGCAGAACCCCAAACTGCAAAAAACCAACATGGTAAAAGTAAGCAATTTGGCTTTATTCAGGGGGTCTGATATTTGAATTAGTTTCATTTCTTTATTAGTTGTTCCTTCTTATTCAAATCAGGTCTCAACATAAGGATATAGCATTTGGGGGAAAAGATGCAGCACAGTAATCCAGCTGCTGAAGCCAAAATGGAGAAGATCTCCACCGCCACCATGTACTCACCCTTGGTGCTCAGATAGGTGGGAACAAATGTTACCCAGACACTGCAAAAGACCAACATGCTGAAGGTGATAAATTTGGCTTCATTGAAGCTGTCGGGTAAATTCCGAGCTAGGAAGGCCACAGTGAAGCTGACCGCAGTCAAGAACCCCATAAAGCCAAGGACAATATAAAACATTGTGGTTGAACCTTCATTACATTGCAGGACAATTTCTTCAGACATTGAGTGCATGTCAGAATCTGGGAATGGGGGAGAAATTGCAAGCCACACTACACAAATGGTGAATTGTACTAGACAGCAAGACAGGACAATAGTGTTGGACAGCCTTTTCCCCACCCATTTTCTCATTTTGGAGCCTGGTTTGGTGGCCATGAAAGCAAGAACAACAATGGTTGTTTTCCCCAATATACAAAAAAGACGGTAGTTTGTTATGAGAAGTAGGTAGGTAGTCTAGTAGTAGTCTAGTAATAGTGATAGTAATCTAGCAAGCAGATAGTCTTGTATGAGAGAAGGTGATCCTTAGAGGTTATGGATATAGGGAACTAAGAGTCATCAACAACACCTTGAATTTATATGAATCTATCACATAAAGATTGTGCAGACAATATGGATGAAATCAGTCATGACTGATACAAACCCAGTTGCTTTCACTGGGGGAAACATTTAATGTTGACAAAAAAGAACTATACAGCTTTAAAAACTGCTTCTTTTCCTAGTTAGGTGTGTCCTATTGTTCAGCTCAGGTAATACTAAAATAACAAAGCATTTTGGGAAAAAGATACAGCTCAGTAAACCACCACTGGAAGCTAAGATGGAGAAAATCTCCACAGCCACCATGTATTTTCCTTTGGTGCTCAGGTAAGTTGGAACAAAAGATATCCAAACACTGCAAAACAGCACCATGCTGAAGGTGATGAACTTGGCTTCATTAAAAGTGTCTGGTAGATTT